TATTTTCCCTTTCCCAAATGGCAGTCTGTCCAAAGCCAGATGACATGTTGGGACTTTTCTCAAATATCGGTGTACCCTAAGCACACTGCCAAAAAGACTGAGGCAAAGACCTGCTTTCCGTGGCAGCCTGACGGATGATGTCTGCAGGCACACGCTCGAAATGGGCTGCACCCCAGCAGTTATCTCAGTCAGCAATGCCCAGAGAATTAATGAGCGCCATTCATCCCAATAAGAGAAACCAAGGCCAGGCCTCTTCCTTGCTCTGTAATTCCATTAGCATTGTGCAGAGAGCGCATGGGTCATGAACTCTGTAGACCGGATCACTCAGCAAATGGAACAGCATCTTGTTCCTAGAGAGGCTCCCCTGCGGGCACACACAAACCTTGTCACAGGTTTGTCCTCCGTCAACAGTGAATGTAGTTGTCTGTGTCGGGGATGATGGGAAGGAGAAGGTGAGGCTTCTTAGACTGCTACGAGTTTCAAGTGCTGTTCTGTTAAAGTAAGCACCCACGGAAAACAGTTGTAGTAAAGCCATGTGAGGTACTTGCAATTACTGAACATGAATTTTTAAATTGTGTGTCCACTTATAAGCCACTCAGTCGTTCCATAGGACTACCCCAAGCATTTATTCTCATTTTCATTTTCATTCTCTTTTGGTTGTTACTCTTTTAACCTTGGTTCTGACTCCTCTAAGAAAGTTACAATGGCTTGGAACTAAGAGTTATGATGATAAGCAAGTAACTGTTGACAGTGGAGCTCATCCCAAAATCTAGAGCAGCATGCTCTCCCAAACTGTCTCCAGGTCCCTTCCCTGCTCCTTGGAGTTCAGGGCAAGGGTTTCCATACTGGCTCTGACACTTACCTGTTTTCTTAACAGGAAAATAAGTGAGATTATCATATTTTTACAGCTACTTCACAATACTGCTACAAGGATTCAAAATAAATGCCTAGCACAATGCCTGAAAACTAACAGATCATACCGTATTATCGTTTTTATTGTTGTCAAGTCCACAGTTTTGTATATTGTGTGTGCGCGTGTGCATGTGTGTGTGTGTGTGTGTGTGTGTGTGTGCATAGTCTGTTAAAACATTTGGGTTGTTATGCCCAGTATATTCCAAATGATCCCCGATAATGCAAGAGAGCAGAAGCATGAATGAGTCAAAACTGCAAGCCATTCGAATGTCATCTGTGATCAGAAGCACATTTTAAATTTTCATCTCAAGTGCCAGGGTTCCTAATACTCAAATAAATTACTGTAAGCAAAGAACCACTAAGATGTCAAGTCCTGACTCAACAGGGCCCGAAGACTCTCCAGTTTTCCTCTCTGCTCTTCACAGACGTTCTGGGGCTCCCCTCCTCCAATCAGATCCACTGGTGGATCAGATCCACTGGTGGATCAGATCCACTGGTGGAGTGGTTTGGGTTCCTGGCTTGGAGGTAGCTGCAGCCCCAAATGAAAGCACCAGGTGCTCACAAAGGAGCGGTAGTTTGGAAGTCAGAGACAGCAAAGTCCAGAGAGGCAGCGGGCTACACTCAGCGAGGGCCACACTGGTGGAATCTGCGGTCTGAGTGCTGGGCTCTAAGCCCTGTTTGCCCCCAGGGACCCTGGGTGAATTGCTAACCACTGTGCACCTTCATTTCCCATACCCAGAACTTTGATGATGTCAGGGACCTTGTATGATTTGTTGAGGGCTATATTATATATTTTAATACGGAGAGAATAATATATACACATATATCACTTAGCACAGTGCATACTCATGTAAGTTTAAACAATAGAAGAAGAAAACTCATATGATAGCAGATAATTAAGGGACCTGTGCTATGTCAATTTCCCTTCGAGTAACAAACTCTTACTTACAAGTTCGTATTTTCCTACAAAGACCTGTAACATTTTTTTGTGTGAAATCAGAAAAAGACACTTGGCCTCATCCAGTGTTTATCTAATCCCCCAAACCTATCTGTCTTTCCTAAATGAAGCTGTTTTCTGGTCTGATACTTATGTGATAGTGCTCTGTGTGGTCCTATAGCAAGTAGTATCGCTTCTCGGCCTTTTGGCTAAGACCAAGTGTACTCTACCAAGTAGTGTTCCTTCAGTTTGAGAAGTATTACAGGCTTATCCCACATGGAAAGAAACCAAGTTGGTACCTATACACAAATGCGCACACATACACACACACATCAGTAGTGATGTCAGAAATGTTTAAAATAGTTAAAACTTAATGCTTGTGGTAAATAAAAATGTGTTTGTGCTTCCAGCATAGTGAGTTTTACTTCAGGGACACAGGTTCAGCCAGTATTTTCAAGTGCTACCTATGACTTCTCACAGTAGAAGAGGAAACAAGGTACTGGTTAATTAACTCGCTAACTGTCCTTCCTTATCACGGTTGTGAACTGATATTCTGCCTTTTACTATAAGATGAAAAAAGCTGAGAGTTCAAAGAGTAGACACCCTGGAGCATATGAATGGTGGGTTGTATCTTTCCCTTGCTCTGCAGATTAAATCAGTAGCTGACTCCACAAAGTCAGCAACAACGGAGCCATCGGCAGGTGACTGCATGTCTGGGCTGGCTGTGTTGAAGGGAGAAAGAAAAGGGAACAGGTCTCGAGACTGTAAGCTCCTTGAGAGAATTTACAGGGACACTGTGTCCCCTCCATATCTGACCCCAGAAACAGTACCCTTGGCAGGGACCCAGCTGTGTACATTGGACAAAAGTCAACCTGCCAAGAAAACCTAAGTTCCCACGTATCTGGCTCTTCCTGCACATGTAAATAAATAATAAAAAATAGATGTCCATTGTTTTAGAGTCATGTTACATCAATGTTCACATTTTATATTTTAATATCTCAGGAGTTGGAGGGCATTATACAGTTGATGGGGTATCATTGTTTAAGTGGCAGGGTTGTGTGTGTGTTTTTTTGTAGTATTTAAAATAAAGATTGCCTTAACACCTGTGGCATCTCAGATTTGGTGAAATCCATTATGTATCAGGCATTAGCAAGCTCTTACAGCAGCATAGTAGAGTGAGGCAGAAAGAATAGGTAAGACTGAAAGCGTGTCCTCCTCTAAACTGACCCTTAGATGAGTGGGCAGCGGCCATAACTTGCTCCCTGCATGGCTGCCACCTGATTAGAACATATTTCTTCCTTTCCTTTTTTTCCTCCTCTCAGGAAACAGAAAGGAATACAAGTTAAATCCCTGGCACTTAGTTTATCTTCCTGAAACTGTAGTGTGTCTCTGGATAGAAGCTCTTCGGGCCCAGCGTTCTATGTCCGTGGTTCTCAGACACTCCGATATGCTGGGACCCCTGGGACCTTCTTAGGCATCTATGGTCCGCAGCTCTTGCCTGGACATCTGGAGTCAGATGGTCTGGGGTGAGGCCCACGTAGCTGCGCGTTTCACCCTTGGGTGACTGGTGTGCCCTGAAGTTTGAGAAGCTCTGGCCTTTGTGTTTGGAATTGGCCCATCACTGAAAGCGCTTGGATTTAGGGACACTGGTCTCAGTCGTACGCACAGGACCTCATCTGATAGCAATGATTAGGCAAATACACTGACCAGGGAAGGAATCCTGACACTGCTTTGTTTCCTTTGGGCTGGGACTGAAAGATAGAACGTGCATTGATGATGTCCCTGATACCTATTTCTGTTGGGGTTTTTTTAGCTGTGCCCCATAAAATCGGACGCATCATTGATGGGAGTCCTGCAGATCGCTGTGCAAAACTAAAAGTGGGAGACCGGATCTTAGCCGTGAACGGCCAGTCTATCATCAGCATGCCTCACGCTGACATCGTGAAGCTCATCAAGGATGCAGGTCTTAGTGTCACCCTGCGCATCATTCCTCAGGAGGGTGAGTGCCTGAGGTGGCCTTGCAGGGAGAGGCGGACACAGCCATGGGGGCCTGGCCTGCTGGCCACACAGCCGTCACCAGGGCATTGTTAGAGGGTCAGAGGCCGCTCTGCTCACTCATGGTGTGAATCCCAAGCCACTGGCTGAGCCGATCATTCCCTCAGGCTTGGGACTACTGGTTTTAGGGTTATATTAATCCAGAACTCATTCAACAGAGCAGACAGAGTTACAAACCTGAAAAGAAAAAACCTATGTGTCTTAACAGTTAATCTCTGGAGGATTCTTCAAAGTCTGATTTTGAAAAGCTTGAAGAAGTTCTGTGGTCTGAAGAGCTCCTTTAGGAAATGTGACATCTGATAAGAATGTGTCACCTGGCCTGCTGAATTCCTCTGTCCACGATCTGCCCCCCATCCCGCTGAGGCTCACAGTAGGGACACCCCGACTCGCAGCCATGCCTTCAGGGGCCCTGTTCTGAGCACTAATTCACACGCGTCACCATTTCTACACACACACACACGTTCATTCCTGCTTTGGAGTTGCTGGCTCATTAGTGATACGGAAGAGTTCGGTCCCTGGCACTCCCCAGAAAGGGAGCCAAGCTGCCCGGAGCAGAGGCTGACAGCCGCACTTAACACCACCCTGTCACTCAGCCACTTCCCCATTCCATTTCAGGATTTTCCAAGGTGTAGACAGCAGATGGCTAAACAGCCACCTGACTTTAAGTGTGAAGCAGTAAGGCCCAACCCAGGTGATTTTGACCTCCTAGGGTGCATTTGTGATGCCTGGAGATGTTTTTGACTGTCGTGGTTGGGGTGAGGGTGCACTTGTCATCAGTCAGTGGGGGCCACAACTGCTGCTAAAAGCCCCATACACAGGGCAGAGCCAGGGCGGGGATTCTCTGGGCCAAAATGGCAAGAATGCCCAGAAACCCTAATCAAAGTGGGGAGTAATGTAAAATATTGGGGCGATGAGAAAAGAAGAGGGAAGAGTGCGCTCTAACGGCGCACTAGTAGATCACCTCCCTTTTGTCACCCAATGAGAGGAAAAGAGAGAATTCAATGACCATGGGTTTTTAACCTGTTATCTGCAGACACCAGTGTGTATAAAATATTCAGTGAAAATAAACTGTAAGCAGGCTGCTTACTGAAAATCCAGTTGGCTTCTCAGTCTTCCCAGTCTGAAATGTGCTTCCTGCCCTTACCCCAACATACAGCGATAATTTCAGTTGTGAATTTGATGGTATTAGAGGGAAAAAGCCAAGAGGCAGTTTTGGGGGGGAAAAAAACAGCTTTCTGAGTTTTCGTGGGTCCAGGATTTTTTCCTTTGCAGAGAACGGGGGCTATTAGGCAATGTTACTAAAAGGGACTGAGGAAGAGATTGTAAAACTGCTTACCATTTTACAGTTAGTTCTTTACCTGGGCTTTCAAAGACTGCTAAGACACCTCTTTACAGTCAAAACGTGGTGGCTAAAACATTTTCTCACAGCAAACAATGCTGGGAAAATAGAATACGTTTTAGAGCTTGCTCCTCTGAGTTATTTTTCCAAGTTTTAACAGGGTTTTTTTGTTTGTTTGGTTAATTGGCTGGTGTTTTTGTTTCATGTTGGTTGAGTTTTTTGTTTGCTTTTTCATTTTTATTTTCGGTAATCTTCTCTTCCGACAAAATGACATGAGTCTGTTTGTCACCTTGCTGGGTAGCATTTCTAATTAACAGATACTCGTTCCAGGATGGGCTTAGGACTTGGTAAGTTTAACCTGCTGTCTGAAACCCAGCAGAAACGGAAATGGCCAAAGCGTTGCATCATGGGAGAAGGCAGGGTCACCACTGCTGGCTGCCTCTGACCTCATCTGCTGCTTTGGTTCCCACCACAGAGCTCAACAGCCCCGCCTCGGCCCCCAGCTCCGAGAAGCAGAGCCCCATGGCCCAGCAGCACAGCCCGGTGGCCCAGCAGAGCCCTCTGGCCCAGCCCAGCCTGGCCACCCCCAACAGCCCTGTGGCCCAGCCTCCTCCTCCTCAGCCACTTCAGCTGCAAGGACATGAAAATAGGTAACGTTTCCTGCCATTTCTGCTTGTGAGAGGCAGGGGAGGTGGGAGAGGAAACAGGACGCAGGCAGGGAGAGAGGTTCTGATGTGGTAGAGATGACAGTGTGAGCCCCTGCGTGATGCTGAGTGTGTGGGATACGTGGATCTGTCAGCGAATGGAACCAAATGTCTGCCCTTCGCAACAAGAGGACCTTGCCTGGAGAGACGCTGAGCTCAGGCTTAATGAGCTAGTCAAGAGTAAAGAACACATACCAGGAAGGACGAGAGGAGACCAAGGTCAGGTGGCAGAGGGCAGGGGCGTGGGGTGAGATGGAGTCCGAGGGGCGCATAGGGCCAAGCCTAAGGGCTCGGTGAGCACCTTACTGGTTTTGATCTTTATCTGGGTCCCAGGGAAGTCACTGTGCAGTTTAAGCTGATGACTGACCTCATGGAATTTGCTTTTCAAGATCTCACTGTCTGCCCCACAAGAGAGCCGACAGGAGGCTGGGCAGGGCAGAGCGGGCAGCAGTGAGGAGGTGACTGCAGAAACCCACTGGTCCATGAAGGTGGCGGCTGGTGGCAGGAGGGGTTCAGAAGGAGGAAGGTGAGGAAGGCTGTGCAGGCATCGCTAGGTGCTCACCCTGCTCCTGTGTGGGTCGCATCCACCCACCTGCAGTCTGGCGAGGGTCTTCCGGCCCCTGCTCGTGGGCATCATGAACCATTGTGACCAAGGCAGTCTGCACTTATAGAGAAGGGAGTGTCACAAAAAATGGCATTGTCTTCCCATTGTGACTTGTGTGTAACCGGGAGCCTAGGCTGGGCTGGGCCATTCCAGACAAAGATGAAGACGTGTTTCCGTGTGCTGTTTCTGTCTTCAGCAGAAGAAAAGCAGGTCCACTCGCGCCGTATCTCTGAGGACACACCTCTTTCTCCAGGCTTGCCCATGTCCGCATGTTTACCGAGCACCTGCTCCCTGTCCTGCCTCCTGGGCTGGCGAAGGTGACCAAAACTCTGTTTCTGATCCCACAGTTCTCTGGGCTCATCATTCGCACTATCACAGAACAGAGCCTTTCCTTGGGCCCCGCTGCCAAACCTCTACTCAGGTGCTTTCAGGGAGAAGCACATGTCTGCTTGTCTTCAGCCGCTCATGTTTTTAACAGAGGCCAGGGGAGAGAAACACCCTGTAAAGCAAATGACTCAGAGGTGAGAAGCTGACAAGCCATAAGAAGGGGACGTCCCAGGGGCCTGGGTAATAAGCCCCAGATGTGTCTGCTCTCGTTGTGTTATCTGGACAGACTGCACCAGGTTTCCCCGAGGTCCATCCTGAGTCCAGCAGGGAGGACTTCAGAGCCTAGCAGACCCTGAGCCAGCATCCAGCTCCTCTTCTTGATTTTCCTACTGTGGATTAGCTTGCAATCATACTCAGGGTACAGGGGCTCCCTGGACATGGATGCTGCTTCCGGCATGGATGGGTGACCCCAGCCTTGGGTGGAGAACCATCTCCTCCCCTTGATGTGCACTTAGCCCGTTACCCCTGCTCCCCTGGGAAAGGTTCTTTTATTGTGAGGGTCAGAGCATGAGCGTATGTCCTGGTGCTGTGGGGAGAGCAACAGCAACAGCTCCATAAGGCTACTGTCAGATCCTATCTGCAATACCTCATCACAGCAGCATTAGTCTTTGGAATATCTTTCCTGACTACAGAATAAAATACGTCCTAACTCTGGGATTAACAGATTGATCTGATCCGGATTTTTATAAATCCCCAGTATATTTGCCCAGAGTTCTCTTTTGCTTCAGTAATAACAGCCTGGGAAGTGCTTGTTCCATTTCTAAGAAATTTTACATGCCAGAACTTGGATTTACTGGCTTAACTCTTTGATTCCTAGTGGTGGCTCACTGGCCTAGGGGTGAAGAGATTCAATAATCTTACAGATACCAGAAACCTCTTCATACCTGCATTGAGAGATGCTCATGGCATCAGGGGAGAAACTCTTGCCTTTTGCTGGATCAGGCTAGAATTGTCTGCAAGACAGCCATGTGCCAAGTGCGTTTGTACAAAGAACGGCCACCTACATATCAGACTGAGCCAGTTCCCATGTACAAGTGGGGTAGATGAAAATGACAATCTGCTTGCAAGTTTCTATTTCATGAGTTAGAATGAGCAGTATTTTGTCCTCTTCTTTACTCTTGCATTAACTTCCCATGACACACATACCCTTCTGCCCTTTGCTCGGTCTGTTAACATCCCCTTGGTGTGTGCTTAGGAAACACAAAACAGTTTTTAACTGAGCATAAGTAAAATACTATTCAAGAAGCATTTGTTGATTTTTTTAAAAGGAGCCATTATGGAATATATTCCAGAACTAGTATAGATAGCAGAATGAACCTTCCCAAGCAAGGACAATTGGTATTTCACTATGATTTAAAGTGTAGCCAGGGCAGAGGAAGGGGATTGGAAATTGACTTCTTTCACAGACCTTGCGTCCTAGATGCCCATGGCTGGAAGCAAATCCTTGATGGGCTACGCAATACAGACTCTCACATAGGCAATGCTTCTTGGTCCCAGAACTTTTTCATACCCTGAAAACTTCCTAGAGCTTACCATTAGCAGTCTGTTTTGTCATCTCTAAGCCTCCTTAGTAAAGCAGTTAATAGCTGCAAAGAGTTATACTGATGACCTTCTTTCAGAAGTAAAGAAACTTCAAGGAGTATATTTTTAATAATCTTGAGTCTTCCATAAAGGGCTTCACATATTCAAAGCAGCATAAGTTTTGGCCTAGCCACTGTGTGGCTCCCTTAAAAGTCAGTGACACTCATAAAACACTATCTTTTCCCTCTTAAAGAGTTCTTCAGTGTGCAGTTCTACTTACAATTCTGGCACATGGCACTGGTCAGGGCAAAGATGCTTGGTGGGCTGGATGACAGCGGTGGCAAGTTCCAACATTTCCTGTTTCTGATCATTGGTGTCTTCGGGGAGATTCTTGCATTACACCCTCTGTGGTTATACCCTGTGACACATCTGGTTGGAAATGGAGCACAAAATGGATATTTCATACCAATACCACATCGTAAAAATAAAGTGACTGTGCTAGAACTTAAAACACTGTGACATCAAAAGCACCAGCAAGCTATTTCTAGGAAGGAACCAACACACACTGACAAATGCCACCTGGTTCGATTCCTTTTGTTTAACGCTTGCATTTGCGTAGCTAAGTTTCTTATTCAAAGAATATTTAAATAATTCTGCTCTCAGCATGCACACTCTCCCTCTCCGTAGGTGAGCGGACTTCTGAGGAATAAAGCAAGGCCCAAATTATGCAACTCCCAAAAGGAATGTCTCCTCTCTGCAGGGTTAAGCAACAAATAAGACCTATTCAAAGGGTTGATTAAAATAACTACATTACTAACCCCCTTCCAAGAACTCCAGATAAACATATCAATTATCCTGTACTTTCAATGTGTCCTCACCAAATATTAGATTATACTTTTAGCAATTCTTCTTGCAAGTGCTTTTTAAAAATATTTAATACTAATCAGCATCAATGAGACTATAAAGCAGTAAAGAAACCATCTAGTCTTAAAGGTAAAATTTCTACTTGTTTTGAACATTTTTTCCTAAGACATTTGAGATTTTCCTTGGTACTATTTTCTCAATTCCTCATACCTTCTATATTAATCTTAGATGAAATTGTTATTGTATAAAACATTTTTTAATCTACCTACATTCCTGGGTAGCTCATTGTATCCTGTTTCCATGGCAACAGGCAATGATGTATAGATTTAAAAGACCTCTGCATCGGGATGATGACTTTTCAGTTTACCTACATAAAGATAGCACAACAGCAAGTGCTGGCTGTTTTAGTCCCCTCTATGAATTAGGAAACGCCTCAAGCTTAGAGAACTTTGGATTTTAAAAAAGAGTACTAAACTTTTAGCTCTGTGTTTATTAGCAACTAATGTCTAAAGAGATGAAAGATTTTGGACATAAACATTTTTGCCTTCCCTTCCATCTTACGATTGCAGTAGTATCTGATACTCATCCTGATAGCTAGTATTTAAACTTCTGTGCAATATGTTTTGAATTTTATCAGTGGTCCAGTGTCTTTCTACTTGATTAATAGTCCATACTTATATTCAGAAATATTCAAAAAGATTCAACGTAGCAATTTAAGATAGCCTTTAATTATGTACTTTTAAAGTATTTAGAGATCATTTTGATCATGTTTTCACAAAGTAATGAATGATCTGCCAAGGAGTGTGTGTGTGTGTGTGTGTGTGTGTAAGTGTGTGTAAGAGATCAAGAGAGAAAGGAGTTAGACAATAGACAATTGGTTTACTGTTTTAGGACAGATTAATATTTCAGAATGTATAGTTAGTGTTTAACTCCCTAGATTTGCAAATAGCCAAAGTGAAAGAGGGCTATCCATGAGTCCTTTTCCGTAAAATTCTGGTTGAACCACAATTTTATCTTGATTTCTTGAAGAGCCAAATTGAAAGTACACAATATGGCCTTTGTCAAAGATGTTTAAGTAATACTTATTATTTGATCTTCTCATAATCCTAAATGTTCAGCAAGATCACGAGTAGGAGTGGCCCCTGTGGCTCTACGGCTGACCTTGTGTGGAGGTCATGGGATTGTTCTGGTCTCCTTAGAAGCTGGGAAGCCTAAGAACCCCCCTTTCCACTTACTTAGTTACAGGTCAGAAGTAAAGGCGAGACAAGATGTGAAACCAGATATCCGACAGCCTCCATTCACGGACTACAGGCAGCCCCCACTGGACTACAGGCAGCCCCCAGGAGGGGACTACGCGCAGCCTCCACCCTTGGACTACAGGCAGCCTCCCCTGCTGGACTACAGGCAGCACTCCCCAGACACCAGGCAGTACCCGCTGCCAGACTACAGGCAGCCCCAGGTACCTGGGCCTGGCTCCAAATGCCAGGCCGAGCCTTCCTGAAGGGCAAGGAATGAAAAAGGAGGGAGGCAGAAAAGGACACCCTCTGGGGTAGAGAGCCGCAGTGCTGTGCCTAGTTCATCAGGGTAACGCCTGCACCCTAAACTGCACTGGATAAATAACTGTTCAGAATAAACCAGAACAGTCGAACCATCCACCCAACTATCCACCCTTCCATCAGTAGCAGGTGGGAGTAATGGGATGAACTAATCCCTGCTGATATTAAGCAGCCAACTCCCAGGCCATTGGCTTGTCAAAGTTTTTAAAATGCCCTTTTAGGGGTGGGGCTGTAGCTCAGTGATAGAGAGCTTGTTCAGCATGCACAAGGCCCTGGATTCAACACCCAGCACCAAACAAGAAAAAAGAAATAGCTCTTACCTGGGACTTCAGAGTACCACTAATGCAGAAGGTGTGGCATTTGCCAGCAGTGGAGGTCTTTAGGTCTCTAACTGTTTCCATGGCCCTCTACTGCCCACTCTGGTAAAGACCAAGCCTCTAGCCTCCGGGCCAAGGTAGAGCCAGGCCTGGCTTCAACCTCTAGTGCTCAACCTCTGCAACAAGCCCTGGGGTCCTGGGTACACAGCCAAGGTACAGTTGTAGTATTTGTTGATATGGGATGTAATTTATGGTGCTTTCCTCAACCTCTCTGAGCTTCAGTTTCCTAAAGAGACAGGCTTGCTTACAGGCCAAGATGAGGATTCAACAGTTATGAAAGTCTTTTACACCAGAGCTTAATATCTAGTAAATACTCACTGCCAGAAAACTAGATACCAAGATACAAATTAAGTACAATTTCAACTCTATCACATTACATTGTGTTATATTATGAATTAAAACTCATCTTTATCCACAAAGCGTCTAAGAACAGTGACGATGAGGAAAATTTAGACATACTGCATTTTCAGAAAAAAAGAAATTGATTTTGTATATGTCAACTTGATATTCAGTAAGACCCCCATCAGCAACCAACTGGGACACTCAGATCTCATTAAATTTCACATTTCTGTTTAGCAAGCTCTGTAATTTACACACATGCGTGCAGCACCACCACCACCCATACAGTTTCCAAAGTACTCAATCAGAAACCTGGGAGCGATCACATCACCCAAGTGGCACCTGGTAACTCTGAGAGGGAAGGAGAACAGAGAAGTGGACCTTAGCAGCGTCTCTAATCCTAAATGATTGTTTATTGCATTTTCTCCCCAACCCAAAAGGATTTTGATTATTTCACGGTGGACATGGAGAAAGGAGCCAAAGGATTTGGATTCAGCATTCGTGGAGGAAGGGAATACAAAATGGATCTGTACGTGCTGAGATTGGCAGAAGATGGGCCAGCAGTCAGGAACGGGAGAATGAGGGTAAGAACAGACTCTATATGCAGTTGCCTAGTTTTAGTGGAAACCCTACCCTGGCTTTAGAAGAGCTCTGAAGCGGCCACCTAATAGGCTTTCTTTCCATCCCAGGACCCAATTCTTTAAAGGTTTGTCCAAACATTTTTAAAAATGTCTCATTTTTCTGATGATCTTCTAATTGATAAAGCTAAAAATTGTCATTTTTAAGAAACAAACAAAAGAAAATAGACAGAGTAAAGAAATGTATGAAAGAGCTTGAAATGCAGACTTGGCTCCATAACTTTTCTCTGTGATTGGATGATCCCATTTTCATTGAGATTGAATATTTTGAAATTTATTTTTTATTTCATGCTTTCCCCTGGTTTTTCTTTGGAAGTCCTATGTTTCTTTGGAAATACTTCTTTTGTATTGACTGGTCTTTTGTTTTTAATATTGAGCAGTCAGAAACTGTAGGAGAGAAAAGGGAATTAGGTTTCTTGGATAGAGTTGTCCTTAAAAATGATAGCAATTAGAAACTTCAATTAGAGGGTAAGTTGGAGTGGATATTTTAATGTCATAGTTGCTTCGAAGCGTGAGACTGATGAAGTAGTTGATTCTTCATCTAAAAGTACAAAACTTGATAATATAGAACATTAGACAATTTCTCTCCCCCCCTCAAATGGCAACAAGTAAGCCCACAATACAGGTTCGTTATTATTATAAATGAAATCTAGGATCCGTTCTTACCCTCCCTCCTTGCTCTGTAAGGAAATACAGAAAAGCTGTGGCTTTGGCCATCTAGAACCTCAGGTGCTTGTGCCAGCCTCTCCCACTTATTGTCCATGGGCACCTGAACCCATTATTTCTTACCCAGCCAACCCTTTCTACGATTCTCACTCCCAAGTCTAAGAATCATCCACAGTACAGAATTAGAGAGAATGAAGTCGTGCCTACTTCTCTCCTCCTCTCCATGCAATCCTCTGACAGATGGGAGCCTGGGCAAGCTGCTCCGAGACTGGCGGCCCTGCCCTGTCCCCCTCTGCCCTGTCACCGTCTAGACGTGAGCTTGGGAGAGACCTCCACTTGCTTTCCTGGTGCTTCGGCCTTCCTCTAAGCCAGAAGGGTGCTTTCTTAACATGCTACAAAGCCAGCTCATGAATGAGTGAGTAAAACAAAATTAACCTCTCCAGCACAATTGAAGACAACACAACACTAAGACTACAAGTGGAACGAAAGCCCTGCGGAAGTATGCCCTGTGGACCTCAGAGGTGGCCTCCCTGAATTCCGAACAGTGGCTACATTTTTAACAAGAGGTCTGCTGAATAAACACAGTGCCTGTATACAGTAGAGCCAAGGCAAAGACACCTAAATAGAGAAGCACCCTTGTATAGAAAGATTGCTCTTTGCAACAGAATTTAAACCAGAGCAGCTTTCTCAGCATGGCCTGGGGCATCTACATTCCCAGGGAAATGCAGATTCTCTGGCCCGGAGGAGACACCTGAGCCAGGAACTCTCACTAGCTAAGCCAGGCTGTTTTTAGAACCCCTCCAATTGAGTCAGGTGCCAGCAGAAGTCAGAGGACCACCAGCAAGGGGGCTCAGTCGTGACACAGGTATGGTACAGGTAGGATGTGCGTGGCTAATCCTCCCTAGACCCGCACTAAGGGAGGTTTCCTTGCTGTTCCAGGGATTTTCCAGAGGCTATAAAGCCACATAAACACAGGTTTACAATTCTGCAGGCAGGTGCTCAGTTTTATGAATGATGCTTATTTTCTGCCAGGTGATAAAAATGAGTCTTCTACTTGAGTTTCAGAAAATGGTATTTTTCACACTGGTCAAAGATTATTAAAATGGACAATATTTCATCATTTTTTCATACCATTCTTTAAAGCAGTCCATTCTTTATGCGTACAAGCTACCTGAAAGGAGCTATGATGGCCAGTTGTAGGTAGCATGGATTAGTTTATCTCGGACAGCCAGGGATTTAAGTCAGTGGCACTACACTTGCCTGGCAAGAACGAGGTCATGAGTTCGATTCCTGGTACTAGGAAAAAAGAAAAAAAATGGAAAAGTTTATCTTGGACTAATATATATGGCATTTAATTCTCCAAAAAAAATGAGCCAGCCACTTGAGAGTCACAGAAATTTCATGAATCAGATTTAACTGGTTGATTTTTATCTCTGATCTTTAAGATAAGACCAGGAGCTTGGCAGGAAAGATGGAAAACTTTTTTCTGCTATTTATGGATTACGGTTGATATTCAAGTGGTTGGGGAATTTCACACTCATGGATTCTATTCTTACGGCTGCAGTAGAGAACTTCTCAGCAGTGTCAGTGGAAGGAGAGAATTCATATGCAAGTTGGACAGGGCTCATAATTATCTGCTCTCAAAACTTGACAGTAGTTTGGATATATAAAGTTAAAGATCAACAATTGTTCTTTGATCACAGGACATAATTCAGATTTTATTTTTAAGTTAATTTTCTTGGTGCATTTTAGGTACACATAATGATAGCGTTCATCATAGGGAATTTGTACCTGTACCTGATACAGCTTGCTGCTTTTTTTCCCATGCCCCTCTTCTACCCCTTTTTCCCTCCTTATTTACAAAGGCTTTGTTTCCATTTTTTCCTTCTATTCTTTTTTCTTTTCCCTTCCTCCCTTTCCCCCTCCCCCCTCCTTAGTTCTCCTCCAATTGAACAATTTCTTCCCGTTTCACAATATCTGTTGTACATTTTGGTCCTGATTTACACTTTTGGTTTCTCACACCAGAGAAACAATGCAGTACTTAAACGTGTGTGTCCGGTTTATTTCACTTCAGAGTATGGTCTCAAGGTGCATCCGTTTACCTAGAAATGTCTCTCTGGTGAGAGAAACAGATTTTATTTTTATGTTTATTATATTTGATCATTTAAAGCTAATCTTTTCTACCTTCATTTGTTCTTATCAAAAATTAACAATAATTCACAGATAATGTTTCCATTTTCTCAGTGAGAACCGGGTTTTGTCAATATTTGTGTGACTTAATGGTTTGATTATCTTAGTAATGCATAAACTGGATAACAGGTTACCAATTTAGAAAATTCACAGTAACAATAGAGACCATTTCTCATTTTATTTAAGGTTCTCCCTTGATCCTATTGGTGTCAGATACATACAGAACTGATAACTGCAGAAGATACTTAACAGCTGTTTACCCACAGGGACTATGGCTTGGTCTGTGGATTTCCAAGACTCCCAAGACAACTAGGTGTGCTAGATATTCATGGACTAACATTAAAAATTAGCTTAAGAAGAGAAACGAGGGCTGGGGATTTAGCTCAGTGGTTCCGCCACCTGACTTGCAAGCACAAGGTCCCGAATTCAATCCCTGTTATCAGAAAAAAAAAAAAAGAAGAGGCACGAGCACCAAGTTCTTCCCAGCTGTGAAATACTCAGGAATATTTCTCTTTGATAGCATGGTTCATTCTCCTCAGTCTCAATCCCTTATTGCTTCTCTAAACACACAAAGACTGTGGCGGGGCTGAGGCTTGGGCTCAATAATAGAGGGCTTGGATATTTTTTCATTCTCATGATCAGGATTAGAAGAGAAAAGCCAGGTAATGATCTTATAGCAGTCAACCTAAGATTAAATCCAGTACAGTAAAACGGTTCAAGTCAGAATTACTACCAAAGAGCCAGGTGATTCTGTAAAATCATTTCCAGTAACAATGAATGAATTGCTGTGCCGTTATGTTGGGGATATAAACAATACCACCTGTGAACAAATGCCCCAGATGTTAGCCTCTGAGCTTGAGACTTGTCCTGGGACATTTGTGTGGGTCTGGCTGTAGGAGATGGTGGGGCAGAGCTTTGCTAAGAACACAGCGAAACGTGGGGGAGATGTGGTAGAGCTTGCTACCGTGGAAGGAGGGGCCTCCCGCCCTTACTGGGAGCCGGGGAACTGTGCATGGCCACCTGTAGAGCTTGTCCTTAGGCAGCCAAGAGGTAGCCAAGAAAAATGCCAGTGAGCTTTCCACCCGGTGCTCTTGGGAATCTGCTGAGAGTCAGGTCCCAGCTCAGTGGTCTCACTCGGGCTTGATTGCTTTTCTTTCACTCTGGTGCCTGGGTGCTGACAGCAAGAATTATTTCAGCAAATTAGGGCTTGCCTTTCAAACCAAGTAAATGTTCCCACCGAAGTTTTTATTTTCTTCTCTTCCAAAAGCATTGTGGGGCCGGGGATTTAGCTCAGTGGTTTCGCTGCCTGCTGCACAAGCACAAGGACCCGAGTTCGATCCCCGGTACCAGAAAAAAAAGCATTGTGTTTACTCGTGTGTGTGTGTGTGTGTGTGTGTGTGTGTGTATCAAATAAATTCTTTCTGCCTGATGACAAATGTCAGATCAAGCAAGAATCTAAGTACAATCAGTTCCCGAGAGCTGGTTGTAACTCAAGTTGGTTGTAAGTCATTACATCTGAGATCTGGATGTTTCCCTGGGTACACACTATAGATAACAAGAGGCAGGTGAATCTTCTGTTAACCTAATTAACCCAAGTTGTTTGTATGTCAGGCTGGTCGTAACTTGAGGATCCACTACATGAGGTCTAAGAGTTTTCTCGAAGTATAAGGGTGCAGCAGCAGCAAACCTCAGTGAGAAAGTGGAGCGTTGGCTCCCTTTGAGAGTCAAATTTACAAGCCAAAGCCACAGCACAGGGGAGGATGTGAGAAACTGGTTTTCAGAAGATCAGCTGGGTGTCTATTTAAGGGTCTAGAACCCTTGTATCACAAACATAAAATTAACTAAATAAATGAATTTGAAGGTTTACCGAAAATATTACTATTTTGAGTTTTTCAGACCCTCAGCTCTGCTCTCAGCCTCCAAAATCACAAACTTGAAATTAGAAGCATATTTTCACTTTGCTGACCTTCAGTTTCTTAAAAAATAGGAATAATAATATAGACTTTTTAGAGTTGTTGGGAAAGCTGAAGAAATATATCAGAAGGTATTATATATTTTTATTAAGACAAAAGAATGAAGTGATAGTTTAC